GTAAGCCTAATTACCCCTAACCCCTAAACCCTAAACCCTAATAAACCCTAAACCCTTTTCTCCCTATAAACCCTTGTGAACCCGGAACCTCACTGCTGGCCAAGGGCCGACTGCGCCAGCTTGGACCGCTGCGGGCGTGGGGGTGAGGCAGAGGGCGTGCGGAGTAGCTCTTGGACCACCTGGAAGGTCGGTTTAGGGTTTCAGGGTTTCAGGGTTTTAGGGTTTTAGGGATTTAAGGATTTAGGGTTTTAGGGTTTTAGGGTTTAGGGTTTAGGGTTTAGGGTTTAGGGTTTAGGGGCAACTGGGGGGGGAGGGCGGGGGCCACTTACCCTAAGGGTCCATGTACCTAAATGATATACTTGGGCCTTAAAGTGCCTCCTATCCAGGGACTTTAGGGCCCAAGTATATAACAATGAGGTACATCTTTAGGGACATAGAGGCACCCTTGATTTCAGAGTCCCCGTAGAATAGGAACCCCCCGAGAACAAAATGTCTCTCAAAAGCTCCACACGATACCTCCAAAATGAAGCAAAGACCCTAAACCCTAAACCCTAAACAAACTCCGGCGTGTGGGTGGGTGCCCTTGACCCGCGGCCTCGGCAGCTTGTGCGAGACATTGGGCCACCGTCTGTGGGTCATCCAGCGAGCAACCTGTGAAGCAGGGTTTAGGGTTTAGGGTTGAGTTACTCCCAAAAGAGCCCAATATCCCCTAACTAAGGAATATACCTTAAATCATATTAAGGATCCCTATATGATTTAAGGAATGTTCCATAAATAAGCAACACGGGAGTCTTTGGGCTGAAGATGAAGCTCCAAAGCACCACAAGGAAGGATTAACCTAAACTATCGCCATCTCTATGGCTTAAGCGTATCCCCTTCTGGTAAGTTTCTGGTACTCCACAAAGGCCAACCATCCAGGTCAGCCCACCCTTTTTGGTTTTAAGCTTCAAGGGGATGTTATAAGGGGAACCCCAACCCTAAAAAAAAAGAAATAAGCGCCTACTGCTGGTCCTAGATACTCTGTTAAAAGCTCCGGAGCAAACGGTGTCTCTGCGGGGGGTTTGGCACGGAAAGCGGTGGAGGTCTTGAACCTTGTTCTCAGATTCCAGAATCAGTTTAGGATTAAGAACCAATGAGAACCCTCAACCCTAAACCCTATAAACCCGAACCCTAAACCCTAAACCCTAAACCCTAAACCCTGAACCCTGAACCCTAAACCCGCACCCCGGTGCCCTGAGCCTTCGGGGACCACGAGCTTCTCCGTGGGGTGCATGATGAGACAATCCTTACTAGATCTTTCTAGGGTTCATAACATGGGGCTTAGGGCTCCGGGCAAGAAGGATAGCAACCAGGTGCCGCAACACCCTCATCAGGAGCTGTATAGAAGTAAGCGAGAGAGCGAGAGAGAGACAGAGAGAGAGAGAGAGAGAGAGAGGGGGAGAGAGGGAGAGAGAGGGAGAGAGAGAGAGAGGTCTCCACATATATATATATATATATGTGGAGACCTCTAACAATGGTTCCCTTTTTGTTACTACGACCCCGAACATCTCGGGACAGGCCACGTGTGGACCTTAGAAGGACGAAGGGAGGAAGCCGCTGTGCGCTTTGACACGTTGAAAGGTTAGCAGTGAGGAGGGATCGGGGACTTGTTGTTTCATACTGCACGCTTCTCCAACACCATCAGAAAAAAGATGGTACCTTTCTTTGTGTTGTAATTACGAAAATAAGGACACCGCCAACGCAATCAAGTTTGATCAGCTACAGTACTTGCAGCTACTTGTTGGCTAAGTATGGTCCCTTTTGGGGTCTTGATTATAAGGCGGCCCCCTACCCAGAGAACCGACCATGATCTAGAGAACTCACCATGTAGAGTCTCGCTACAATCGGGTTACAAGGGGATACTACTGGTATGAAGTGAATGCTGGACCAGCTGCCGAAAGATACTTGCCCGCGAGCGTGCAGATGGTCGCGCTGTCCGGCCGTTCCTTGCTTCCAGCATCTCAGGTCTCCACTGCGTGGCAATCATGCATTCTGAGAGGCATCATCCCAGGGGAATACACACGCACATGTACACACACACACACACACACGCGCGCTTGTCTATTCATCGCTCAAAAAAGGTTCAGTCATTCCTAGAGAATAGGATACTTTTGATGCATAATCTTTCAGTTCCATGCAGCGCAAATGCCACCACGAAAGTTCAATCTTTGGGGTCGAGTGGCTAGATCTTCGACGAGATTACAGAAGAATCTAGCCGCCCAGAACGCCTGATTTTTAATCAGATTCAGGATCCCTATGTACTTTAAGGTATATTCCTTCAATCAGGGGCATTGGGCTTACATAGGGTTCTTTAACCACCGAATCCTAAACCTTAAACCCTAAACCCTTGGAGATTGAGTGCAAGGACCAAGGTTCATCCTGCCCAACCTGCAGAATCTCCTGGACGTGGGAAGGTTTGGTTTTGCATCGGGGGGCAAAAGCTTTCTTTACAACACAGGGGTCCTAAACCCGAAACCCGAAACCCGCTCTCTCTCTCTCTGACACGAGTTCGTGTCACCTGCAGCCCGTAGCACTTGAAATCTTCGTGTAGGGCTCTCAACCTTATGACCCTCAAGCGCGCCCCCCCCCCCCCCCCCCCCCCCCCCCCCCCCCCCCCCCCCCCCCGCCCCTTATTTGTAAGTGTCTAACCCTAAACCCTAAAAGGGAGCCCCAGTTGGGCTTCACAAGCCCTTGCCCAAATAAGGGGCCCCTCCTTCCCTCCTTGCACAGTAGACGGCACCTTCCTCCTGACCAAGAGTTAGGGTTTAGGGGTTAGGGTTTAGGGGTTAGGGTTTAGGGGTTAGGGTTTAGGTTAACCCTTGTCGGTTGGAGAAGGACGCCTCCCGAGACCCCTACTTTCGCACAAAGGTCTCGAGCAATACCTACCTTAAGAACCACGTGCAAAGGAGACGATTCCCCCCACAATATTTTTGGGCTTAGGTTTTGGGGTTTAGTTTTGTTTTTGGCCCCTAAACCCTAAACCCTAAGCCCTAAACCTTAAAACCCTAAACCCTAAACCCTAAACCGCCTATCCACGCAATCGAAGGGTCACTGACCTCCTTTCAAGGGATCTGAGACCCTTGGGTTTCATCGGGTCTTATATAGGGTTTAGGGCAGGGTTAGGGCCATATAAGGGTTCCCCAACTCAGGGCCCCACACCCACGGGCCATGTAACTACGCCGAAGGGTTTAGGGTTTAGGGAACTACCCCTAAGACTCAGTCGGCCTTGGGGGGGGGGGTCCACGGTACCCCCCTGACAAAAAGCGCCCTGGTTCTTAGTAGGGAATGAGGGAATGAGGGCCCTATGTATCTCTCTCTCTGCCGCTGCATCCCAAAGGTCCCACTGCGTGAGGCAGCCAAACACCCACTCAGATCAGCAGGCGTGGCCCTATGTATATCCGTTAGAATTTAAGGGATGATGTAGGGCCCTCATTCCCTACTAAGAAGCAGCCAGAAAAAGACGCCTGTTTGTTGCAGCCGAATGGCCCCGCAGAGCTTGGCCACCCTGGGAGAAGAGGTGGCAGAGAACGGCGGGTAGTCTGCACGGTTGATCCTCGGCGCGCCGACGCGTCACGTGGGGGTTTAGGGTTTAGGGCTTCGACTCTCACACTCGCACAAGGCCGGCAAGGCATCGGTTGGATCCATAGGTCTGCTAGGATGGCGTGTGGGGGGGGTCACTCCGAAAGGGAGCTGGTGCATGCGAAGGTCACTAGTGCTTCGAAGCTAGCGACCTGATAAGGGATCACGGTGATGTAGGTGACAGAAACACCTTAATGACATCTACCCAGACTAGTCAATAAGCTTCATCAGCTTCTCAAAAACACAAGCGTGTCTGTATCTTACCCAAAGAGCCCAATATTGCTTAATTAAGGAATATTCCTTAAATTATATTCAGGATCCCTATATGATTTAAGGAATATTCCTCAATTAAGCAATATTGGGCTCTTTGGGTAATCAGTATCACTAAAACTGCCTATTTAGCAAGGTTATCTATGCCCATCAATTTTGGGGGTCTCTCTTTCTCCCCCAAAGCCATATGACATCATGCCAGGAGAGCCCTTTCTAGCCCTTAAAAAAAGGACACATACCCTTTAAATCCTATTTTAAGGATCCCTATAGAATGTAAGCCCTTAATTAAGGACCCATACCCTTTAAATCCTATTAAGGAGCCCTATAGAATGTAAGGGTATGTTCCTTTCAAAGGATCCCAGTAGATTTTAAGGCATCTTCCTTCAATCAAGGGGTATAAAAGGGCTCTCTGGCATGCAAGCAGTCGCGTCCTTTTTTGAGAGCCTCGCCTGGAACCTGCGATTTCTCGCTGGCATCGTGCGGTTGCTGTTTTGGGATGTTCCCCCTTATACTAGCAGTCCTTAAATAGGGATTCTAGTACCCCCCCCTAATTACAATCCCTATAAAGGAGCTGTTAGTATAAGGGGGAACATCCCAATGGATCTTCCCATACCCGGTTGCATGCAAGCTCACCATCACCGGAAAGAGACCCGAGGTTCCAGGGCATCTGAAGTCGGGCTTGGATTGCTGTTATTGGTGGATGTCTATATATCTATATATATATATGTATCTTTACGTTTCTTGTTTAAAGCATTGTCTTTGTAAATATACATATGTATGTCCATAGATGTGTCCATGTGGGGATACGAATAATTTGCAAAACCTTCTTTTGCATGCTGTTTAAAGTTGATACGGTCCATTTGTAGACTGCAGCTTGCAGCGTGTAGAGAGGGCTTCACGTTCGGGATGCTGACATCCAGTCGACCATCGTTGACTGCATTTCCTTGCAGCGTGAAACCATCGCACGTACGTACATAGATACATAGACATACATACATGTGTATATATTGGGATGTTCCCCCCTTATGCTAGCATTTTGTGATTTTGATTTGTTTCGGGGCGCAATCTGGGAAGTTTCCTGCGATTGCTCCCCATGCTGGCGGACAAGCCCGTCAGGTAACAGCCACGATAAGTGCTTGCGGAAGCAGAAGAAGGCCCACATGCGGGGTCCAGATTCTCGCAGCCTTGGCTTCTACAATCCTTTTCAACCGTAGTACCACGAGTACTGCGACAGCTTGAAGAGCAATGACAAGACAACACTAGTAATCCGAAATATGTGCATATGGAACGTGCAGCTCGGACAGCTAGGCAGCGTTGCATGTACAACCTCTGCATTTCCTACGAACATAGCACCGGTGCATTCAACGTGCTGCATGAACATCGGCTCGAGAGTGTGGGCTTAGTTGCGATGACCCACTGCCTGACAGGGTGCACTTTTGGCTTCTTCCTTGACGCCGTCATGGACCGTCTTGTCCTGTCCGGCCGCAAAAGCCCCACTATCGAACGCTGCTGGCTGGGTGCGGGGCGGGGGGGGGAGGGTAGCTCAGGCCAGGCTTAAGCCAAGCCTGCCACAAGCCAGTGCGCCAGATCTTCATGCACTGAGCTCGCAGCTCAGGAGATGACTGTCGCAACATCCCGGCCCTTGAAGCTTGAAGCATGCCAGGTCCTCATAGCAGTACTTCCCCTTTTCGGCCTTCTTCTCCCCACACAAGCAGTCGGCCTTTTGAGCAAGCACAGACAGCTGGGCTTCTTGAAATTCCGTGTGCATTTTTCAGCGTGGAGTGCCCCGGAGCAGCAGGCTGTTAGCTACTACCCGACTTCTGCCCCCGTACATCGGAGAAAACAGAAAGCCGGTAAATCACAGAAACCAGAATGATGAGGGGTTCAGGTTTCAGTCGCTTTGGATTTACCACTCATCGTTGTGTCATATGCCCTTGCCTAGAATTGTAACCTGGATTTCGTGGTAAAGGCTGGGTTTCAAGAATCATTTTTTTGTGTTTTATTTGTATTTTATTGGTCTTTTGCATCTGTGATTTTTGTGACCTGCTCTCTTTTTGTGGGGGTGGGTGGGGGGAAGGGGCGGGGGAGTCGGACAAGGGGGAGGCACAGATTTTTCACACTTTTTTCACACTTTTCCCACACTTTTTTAACAGATTTTTCACAGATTCAAAACCCTGTGCAGGCACAGGTACAGATTTTTCACACATGCCAAGCACAAAAAAACACACTTAAATCACAGAAATAATTCCTGACATCGGCCACAGTGATTACCACGATTCCAGGTTATAAGCCTAGAAGCATACCTTGTTCCTCAGTTTGGCCATAAGAAGCTAGAATCTTTTGCTGCGTATGTAGTTGCAGAACGCCAGTGCGGGGGCCCAGATCCCTGCCTAAACCATGCATGATGAATCCTGATGAATCCTAAGCCCGTTGTAGGACCCTTAACATTATAAAGCCAAAACCCTATGCCCAGCATATGATGTGCAATGCTACTCCGCCCAAGTTGCGCCCACTCCGACTTTGTCACTGCCAGGGCATTCGGCCAAGTCGATGCATTCGTCCTCTCTGACACTTTCTTCCGCCACCCCCAAAGCCTAGATCTACATACACTCCCTTTAGAACCTTATTACTGCGTAGTAATTATTATTCCCTTGAAAGTAAAAATAATTCCAAAGGGGTTATAGATAAACCCTAAACCCTAAACCCTAAACCCTAAACCTGCCACTAGTCTCCAATCAAGACCCATTTCGCCGCAAGCACCCGTCGTCAGTGGAGCTTTGGGGATGCTGACATGTCTGGGGCATTGGTGGGAAGCTTTGCCGCGGTTTAGGGTTTAGGGTTTAGGGTTTAGGATTTAGGGTTTAGGGTTTAGGGTTTAGGGGCAGTCCACAGCGCTCCGGTTGCTTTCCGAGGCCGCAGTCCGCATGTGGGCCGGACCCCCAGAGTCTGCACGCACTCAGGACTTTTCAATGAGGCACCGCTTCCACCCTAAACCCTAAACCCTAAACCCTAAACCCTAAACCCATATAGGAAGCATTCAGCCCCACCTCAAGACTTAGGGGCTGAGCATCCTAGCCCCAAAAAGGTTAACCTTTTTTTAAAGGTTACCTACTCAGCTGCTAAGAAGAAGCCCTGGGCCGTGGTTTAGGGTTTAGGAGCTCGGGTCTAGAGGGTCTCGGGATTTTCTAGCCCGTAGCTGCCTCCTACCTAGGGGTCGAAGCAAGATATGGGGGATTTCCGAAATCGGGGTACCCCTTACATACCCCAAGATACCATATAATGCCTTCAAAGGAACCCCAAAAAGGGTAGCCCCCCCCACTCTCGGAAACCCCCATATCGCAACACCCCCCCCCCCCCCTTGCAAGCTTCTTCGACTCTTTGAGATAGATTGTCTTTTCATTGGTGGCCCCCTTCTGCATCCGGCCTGTGATGTCCTGGCCAGAAACGTTAAGCCCTCGACCGTAAACCCAAAACCCTAAAAACCCTAAAAACCCTAAACCCCCTAAACCCTAAACCCCCTAAACGCCCTAAACTCAAAACCCCAAGCTTAAGGACGGCCCGGGCACTCCTCGTCCCAGTGGCATCGTGGCTGCTTGCACTCCGCCTTCGAGTCGAACTCATTGCATGGTCCTCGTGGGTCTTCTGTGGGGCCTGCGGCCTACGGGATATTTTTCGCCCCCGTATAGCTGGACCATACCTTGCAACTAAACCCTAAACCCTAAACCCTAAACCCTAAACCCTAAACCCTACAGGGTTAGGACCCACAGCATCCTTCCACCCCAACCGAGTCATGATTTGCTGGACTTGATAGTTGCTTTTCAGGAGCCTTGGGTAGGAGCCTTGGGTCCCTCTGCTGCGGGGGAGAAACTGCGTAACCCTAAACCCTAAACCCGCCTAAACCCTAAAAGGCCTCCGAAAAACATGGCGAGCAGTTGAGCCGAGTGTCTGAAAAACTCAATCGCTTCCAGGGTGCCCTTGGTGCGAGGAGTTTAAGGGTTTAAGGTTTAGGGTTTGGGGTTTAGGGTTTGGGGTTTAGGGTTGAGGGTTGAGGGTTGAGGGTTAAGGGTTAAGGGTGAAGGGTTAAGGGTTAAGGCTTTAGGGCTTTCTTTCCTAGCTGTCCAGTACCTAGGGGACCTAAAGGTTAAGCTTTGGGATTCTAAGAGGAGTCTATTACCCCCATAAGGTCCAAGCTTCCCTACTCTACAACCCTAAACCCTAAACCCTAAACCCTAAAACCCTAAAACCCTAAAACCCTAAAACCCTAAAACCCTAAACCCTAACCCCTAACGGGGGGGAGAGAGATCAAGGCTCGGCGAGGCATCACGGAGAGCAGAATCTGAGCCTGCTGCGCCAGGACCCTTGCCAGCAGGGTCGTTTTTCCAGCCGGTCCACAAGTCGCAGTTCTCAGTTCGCAGGCGATGCGCGGTTTAGGGTTTGGGGTTTAGGAGGTTTAGGAGGTTGAGGGGGTTTAGGGTTTAGGGTTTTAGGGGGTTTAGGGGGTTTAGGGGGTTTAGTGGGTTTAGGGGGTTTAGGGGGTGTAGGGTTTCGACTCTCACACTCGCACAAGGCCGGCAAGGCATCGATTGGTAGGTCTGCGGTCTACTGACGAAGTCTCTGTCGACAACATTCCTAGATCCCAGTGGCGGGGGGTCACTTTTTTCAAGGGCCAACGAGAGGGTTTAGGGCTTAGGGCCTAGGATTGCCATGCAGTCGGGCAGGAAAGCCAATGATTGCGACGAATCAAGAATAGCAAGTGGAAACCGTGTATTTTTGCACCAGCCACAACGCTCAGGCTTCGAACGCTCTTTGAACTGAAGCCTGGTTCAGCAAAGTGTTAGACAACATATGCACGACGTGTAATCACATATATATATAGATACACTTATACATATACATAACATATACATGTACATGTGCATATACATCTATATCATACATATTCCTCAATATATCTATAATCGCGTACGTCTGCTTCCCAGGCACCCCAAATGGGCTCTTCAGGTTCACAGTCAGGGTGTGCTCACCTGATTTTGCATCATGGGCTCCCCTACTACCGCCCTCTATGCTACCCCCTCTAGGTTCCCCCTTTTTGGTAACCTTACTTAGGCCAATTATCCCGAAATGGCCTTAATTCTGTGGGGAAACTAGAAACCCAGAGCCCTAAACCCTAAAGGGGTAGTAGGGGAACCCATGATTGCAAGGCCACCGTGTTTTTTCGGGTCTACGGCTGAGAGGAATTTGGGGGGGCCTAGGACAGAGAGCCCTTTGTACCCCAAAATGAGGAAAATACCCTTACGTTATGTAGGGATCCTGCATATGATTTAAGGTGTGTTGTGGCTCTTTGTTGCAGCAGATCTGTCACGGTGAAAGCTGCACCTATCTCCCAGGCCCGAAACGCACCACCGCCGACAAGACGCCTTGGCTCACGTCGTCGCAGAACCCCGCAAAGGTCCGAACGCGATGAGGATTCGTGTCTTGATTGGCAAAGTGAGCTGGCCACACCCACCACCACCATCCTGGTCTCGGAGGCATCTTGCAACCCCTTTGGGGAGATGAACCCTGAGTTTGGGGTCATATACCCCAGACTACAAGAGTCTCTATTGGGGTAGTGTGAACCATACACCCCTTCGGGGTTCATGTGGTCCTCAAGGTCAAAGACACATCAAAATCGCAGATGATGAATCAGCAGCTCAATCGCCTTCCTACCCATGTTTGGCATGGTGTACATATCTTTTGGAAGTTCATGCTCTGCTTCACAGCATGCATCGAAAGAGTTGGTTCTTGTGCTGACCGCGCCTAAACCCTAAACCCGAACCCCTTTTTGCAACTGGACTCCTTTCCTAAACCCTAAACCCTAAACCCTAAACCCTAAACTTATAAACCCTAAACCCTGGGTTGCGATGCTGATGCAGGGCGCAGGGCTTCGCAGAGCGAGCCGGCACAAGAAGGGTTTGGGGATCCAGAGATCCTGCTCAAGGTACGGCACATCTACTTCTGTAAAGCATAAACTGTTCTCACCTGAAGGTTCTGAAGCAAACGAGACGGACAAGCACCAGATTGCATGCACGCGCGACGAACAGCCTTCAACTTGCAACTCTAAACCCCAAAAAACTCCTACACCTCAAAAAGCCCGACACCCAAAACCCTATACCCTAAACCCTAAACCCTGAGTCGGAGTTGCAGCTAAGCGTCCATGGTGGTTGGCCCAGCCGCCATTGTGCGAGATGTGATTCGCCTCCAGCCCTGCACAGGTTTTGCCTACGGAAACCAAAGGTTGGGTAAAAAGGGGGTGTAAAAAAAGATAATTTAAAACAAAAGAAATACCTATGTATATATATATATATACACTCCTGCCCCCCGATGGATCCCTTTTGTGTTTTTTCAGAGCGCGACCCAACAGCAGGTCGTGGAGGGTCGCAGCGTTTTTAGCATGGAGCTTATGGTGCAGGGTCTGACTTCTGAGCGTCCCAAGGTCTTCACTTCAAGAAGAATTAGGGTTTAGGGGCCCTCTTGCTTCAAAAAGTTGCTCCAAAAGCAAGGATGCATCTCCTGCGTTTTTTTAAGCACAGAAGAAGATCGAGAGCCCATGTACTAGAAGAAAGCCTGTGTGCGACGAAAAGGGCCAGAACTGTGTTTTTTGTCAACGAGGTCTCTCTCAAGTGCCTCCAAGCATGCACGCAGCACTTCGCGAGAACAAGCCGGCAAAAGACTTCATCTCTTGCACCCAAGTTGAAAGGTTTAGGGTTTAGGGTTTAGGGTTTAGGGTTTAGGGTTTAGGGTTTAGGGCCCGACATGGAAAACTGTATTTCTGAGAGTGTGACACTCTGTCAACCATGCAGGACCCTGCATTTCACTCGAAACTGCAGTTTTGTCGGCCCGCGTCCTCCCCATTCTGCCAGCGCGGACCCCAAACAGTGACAGACCGTGAAAGCCCCGAAGTCCAGCTTCGAAGTTCCTAAACCCTAAACCCCAAACCCTAAACCCTAAACCCTGAACCCTAAACCCCAAACCCTAAACCCTAAACCCTAAACCCTGAACCCTAAACCCTGCTTACGGTTGTTGGTTCAATTCCTTTTTGGGGGGAGGGGGCGTTAGGTTTTTGGGCTTAGGGCACACAAAACTCCCATCTTCATAACTGAACCATCTTGCAGCGAGACGCGTCGGGTGTAGATCTGCGCATGGATGCTGGCGGAACCACAGCTTTTCCCATCGACAAAGATCTCCTGGGCGCTGCGCCGCAGACCACACCCGGGCACTTAAACCCATGAACGCTGAACCCTACCATCCGCAAAATGACGGTTTAGGGTTTAAGATGGGTTTAGGGATTAGGGTTTAGGGTTTAGGGTTTAAGGTTTGGTGTTTAGGGCTTGGGGTCATTTTCGGAAACTGCATACTCCCTGAGTTGTATGTTTAGAGTCGATCATTAACGAAACCTGTGCTTAAGGTTCCAAGTATGGGCCCTGAATTTACGTCCCTCGTTATGTAACCCTTGTATATACTCTGCACAAGAAGGACACACACTTCGGATCCCTATACACAAGGGTATAAGGGACCAGACTAGGGTTTAGGGTTTAGGGTTTAGGGTTCAGGGTTCAGGGTTCAGGGTTTAGGGTTTAGGGTTTAGGGTTTAGGGTTCAGGGTTTGGGGTTTAGGGTTTAGGGTTTAGGGCTTAGGGTTTAGGGGCCCGTGGTTCCAGCCTTTGACAGTGGAGCCACGGAGGCTTGCACTGCGCTCAGGACTTGGTGAGAAGAAGAAAAAGAAGAAGAAAACCACAACAATGCTGGCTAGTAATAGGGAGAACCATCAGGGAAGTTTATTGCGCTTAAATGGGCTTAACGAGACATGTCTTGTTGCATGCATGTCTTGTTGCATGCATAATGCTTACACTGTTTACAACATGTACAACGTGTCTTTCGTTGCTGGAACATGTTTTCAGAATGGTACGCGTGTAAAATGTGTGAAGATAGTGCATCAGTGCCTGGCAGTCTGGCTGTTGTGCTGCACGATAACAATTTCGATCGTGCACATGTAGGGAATTTAGAAGACTCCAATCTCACTGCCGTGCGTGCTGTTCCCAAAGAGCCCAATACCCCTTCATGAAGGAGCATTCCTTGAACTATCTACGAGTAGGAATGTTCCCCCTTATACGGACAGTCCCCTGTAGGGAATATAGTACCCCCCTATGGTAGTCCCCATTAAGGACTGCTAGTATCAGGGGGAACATACCAAATTTCAGGTATATTCCTTAACTAAGGGTTTTTTGTTGGGCTCTTTGGGTTCGTATTTTCCGTTAAATCATGTAGGGATCCTTGCTATGATTTAAGACCTAAACCCTAAACCCCAAACCCTAAACCCTAAACCCGAAACCCTGAGTGTATTCCTTAACTAAGGTTTTTTTTTGTTGGGCTCATTTGGGTTCGTGCTCTGAACAGCAGAGGCGCCCAGTCAGCGCTGCAGGTCGTGCCATGGTGGGGCTTGTGGTGATTCCTGCTATACGCGCGCAGGTTCTCCTGAGGCTGCAAAGAGTGGGCCCTAAACCCTAAACCCTAAACCTTAAACCCTAAACCCTAGCCCTAAACCCTAGCCCTAAACCCTAAACCCTAAACCAGAATCCGTGGCTCATCACGCAGCTCAACACCCCAAAGGCCTGTCAAAGTCAACCATCAGCAGCAGGTGATTCAATGTGCTGTGTGGCCGCTGTTCTGCCCCGACACACAAACAGCAAAGCCCTGAACCCTTTTTCTCCTCTCTAAATCCTAGGAACGATCCCTTACCCAGAGAGCCCGATACCTCCCAAGCTAAGGACTGTGTGCCTTAAATTATCTCGGGATCCTTTTTTTCTGACCTAGGGTATATGTTCCTTATTCTTATACCACTGGGTAGGCAGTAGTTTAAAGGGTTTAGGGTTTAGGGTTTGTCTAGATCCCTGAAAACAGGCCAGGTGGCCGTGAAAAGCAAGCGAAGTCGGGTCTCCGAGTTCTTCCTCGGACGCGGAGAGACCGGTTACAGCAAAGGGGTTTAGGGTTTAGGGTTTAGGGTTTAGGGTGTAAAATCCAAATTTGGAACATGGTTTAAGGATGCTTCGACCTGGGATTCCCTTTAGCATGCCTCTTTGCGGTGCCCGGATAAGGAAGAAGTTCCAACTTTTTGGAGTTTACTGTAGATCAAAGGACTATATAAAGGAGTGACCCTTCTAAGGGCCCTAAACCCTAAACCCTAAACCCTAAACCCTAAACCCCAAAACCCTAAACCCTAAATCCTATTGGCGGTTAATTACGGGGTTTTTTTCCGGCCAAGAGGAGGGATCCTGATAAGGAACCTTCGGGGTTCTTTCGACGGGCCTTACAAGGGACTTTAGGGTTTAGGGTTTAGGGTTTAGGGTTTAGGGTTTTAGAGTTTGGGGTTTTGAGGGGCTACTTAGGTAGACAGGGACGATGCAAGGTATACTAGAGGGTTCTATGGGGGAATAAGATGAAGGGTCCCGTCTAGGGATCCCTCCTTATACCCCTTAGCTAGAAAATCCCCCTGGCCGCCAACCTTCCGTACTATCGTAGCGGTACATCTCTGTGTGTGCCCAAATCTTCCAAAACCCCTTAAGGAATATACCCCAATTCATAGTAATGATCCTTAGTATCAATCAGGGTATATTCAATGCCTTAATGAGGGGGTTTTGGAAGTTCCGGGCGCAGCCCAAAGTGGCACAGCATGTCCTGGCGAAAGGCAAAATACCCAGCAAGTAAAGTTTGTTTCTCCCGTTGTCAGAGTGAGGCAAAACACATGTGGGTGGCTGTCAAAATTATGGTCCTTCTTGGATCCCTATTGAAATACGGCACATTCAAGGTACCCCAAAAGGGATCATATTTTGACAACCACCCATGTAGAGAATGTTGTGAGGTACACCTGCGACAAGACTGGTGCCTGTCTGCCAGTTTTCCCTCCCCGAATATCCACTATAAGTCCATGACCTCATCCTGGGCTCCTAAACCCTAAAAACCCTAAGAACCCTAAAAACCCTAAAAACCCTGTAAACCCTATAAACCCCTAAACCCCACAATCTGCAACTCATGCTGCCCAAGTCTCTTCGTGAAGGTGACCTTGTAATTGTTTAGGATGCCAGCATCCCTATGGTCGGTCTGACGCTGCATGTTGTAGTGCACCTTGGCGACGGGTTGGGGTTTGGGGTTTAGGGTTTGGGGTCTAGGGTTTAGGGCATACCTCGGCACACATAGGCTCCTTTTTTGGAAGAGAAAGCAGCGCGCCGCCTCGTAATATCGTCACCGCCATTCCAACTCCCAGGCAGTTCCCGCCGCACCGTGTCTGCAGTGCTCCCTCGAGCAATCTTATCCCAATATATGTATATACACCTTACATAGTACCGGAAGCCAATTGTCCCGTAGAAGGGTCCCTTCGTTAGTCCCTCAAATAAAGAAGAATAAGGGGTATAATTAAGGACGGACCCCTAGCAGGGACCCCTAATCCTATTCCCCTATACATACCTTACATAGTCCCTATATACCAAAGTAGCCCCCGAATAATCCCTTAAGAACCCCTACGGTCCCTTTTAAGGGTCCCTCTTTTAGTCCCTTGCCCTTTTTGCAACTAAACCCTAAACCCTAAACCCTTAACCCTAAACCCCCCCTAAGGTCCCTTGATGCCCAGGAACCATGTCGTATGGCTTCGGAACCTCCTCGGCCTCGAGGAGATAATGCGAATTGTGCCATCCAGTGTGGCAATCGCAATGCCCATATCCTGGCACATGCCACCAAAGGGTTTAGGGTTTAGGGCTAGGGTTTAGGGTTTAGGGTATAGGGGAAAGGGTATAGGTTATAGGGTTTAGGGCTAGGGTGTGGCTGTGGCTCTGGCAGGTACTTGCCTTATTCGGCTTGTCAAGCGGCATGTGCCCTGGCATCGCAGGCTTCGCCCGACCATTGTGGTTCTTTATGGCTGTACAAGTGGGGAAAAGGATTAGGGGGACCCTTGGGGATATAGACCCTCTGAATAAGGTCCCTGTTTAAGAGAGACAGAACAAGGTTAAGGAGGGTTCCCTTTCAAGGGTCCCCCTTATCCTACCTAGGAACAAGCCCCGCCCTCTCTCTCCACCTAATGCCCTAAGCCCCAAACTTTGGCCCGAAACCTGTAGTATAAGGGCCTTAATCATTAGAATAGGGTTTTTTGGGGGCTATTCTAGTATATTTATGAAGGGGCCATAAGGGAACATATCATCAGAAATCATTCCGACCCCGACATTACTGAAAAAAATGCCGGGTCCTGGCGTTGTAGACACGTGAACATCGACCTGTCCAGGCACCACGGTGTGCACTGTTTGGAGAGTCGTGGTACTTACTGACCAAATATAGCTGTACTTAAAAGGTTTAGTGTTTCGGGTTCAGGGTTTAGGATAACTGTACTTATAGCACACACTTAGAAGCCCCTTAAGTGCCCTAATATGGTTATAGAGTAGGGACAGAGGGGTTCTTTGTGCCACCCGTCAAGGGACTAAAGGAAGGACCCTGAAAAGGGACCTTCGGGCATATTTGGTTCCGTGTCCCGTGTCGGTACCCCCCCCCCCCCATGGTAACCCCCACTCCTCAAACCCTAAACCCCTAAACCCCTAAACCCCAAAACCCTAAACCCCAACCACAGCAACCCCACAGGCGGGCCCAAACCACAGGGGGGCGGGGCGGGGAGCCCAAACCCTAAAGCCTAAAGCCTAAAGCCTAAAGCCGAAAGCCTAAAGCCTAAAGCCTAAACCCCGCCAAGCGGGGGGGGGGACCATGGGGGGGGGGGGGGGGGCAGCGACGCTGCACCATATTTAGGGGGCATTCAGGAGCTATATGGGGACTATATAAGGTCCGTCTTTTTGTGCTACCTGCTTGGACAAAAGGGTTTAGGGCTCAGGGCCTCAGTTGACAGATGGGGTGGCACAGACAGCATGTGCGCTCTTGAGCCAGGTGCCCTTCACCTCAAAAGACCTTGGCCTAAACCCCCCAAGACCCCCTCAAGCCACCAAAGCCCCCTAAACCCCCCAAGACCCCCTTAAGCCCCCCTAAAGCCCCTTAAAGCCGCCGAAACCCCCGAAAATGCCCTAAACCCCTGAAAACCCCCAAAGCCCAGGACCCGGCCTTGTGGTCGCCTGCGTCAACCCCATCGCAATACCCGACCATACTCTTCGGTCGATGGGGATTTTCCTGGGCCGAAGGGGCATAAGGCACAAGCCCAAAGAGCCCAATATTGCGTAATTAAGGAATATTCCTTAAATCATATAGGGATTATTAATATGATTTAAGGTATATTCCCTAATTAAGCAATATTGGGCTCTTTGGGAGGAGGACCCCTGGAAGGGACCTCTGTCTTAAGGAGGGTCCCTCCTTTTAGAACAATGGAGTCCTCCCTGACGGTCAATGTGGCTTTAGGTCTGGGCGCGGAACCGCAGACATGATATATACCCTCAGAATGGCATCCCTTGATGGTAGCAGGCCCGCTCTGTAGAGACCTATGCGCAGATCTCCGCCAACTGCCCACAAACGCCGTGTTTTTGAACCAGGCGACCATGGACCTGCTGTCGCTAGTCAGGAGGGTCACTTCGTTTGGGGGCCCCTGGCAACCTGAAGTACCACATGTGGGCGCGCAAATGACACCGTGACACCGCCGTAGCAGCATGGGGTATGATACCCATAAGGCCCCTTAAAAAGGCCCTTTAGAGGGTTGGTTATGGGGATTCTAGGGCCTCATAGCCCGTCCTGGTAGCATGCTGTCCTGCGACTGTTCGGCGAACCCGGATTGGCGTATGAGTGGGTTGGCAGCACGGTTTCCAGTGCCGACTTTCTGCCCCAGGACCCTAAACCCTAAACCCTAAAACCCTAAGATGGTTTGCACGCAAAAGTTCCGGTGCAGGTGCTGGCGGAGTGATTTTATGTTTACCATACCGGGACGAACTCATGAACCTGCAAAGACCAGAAAGGGGCCTCAACTTAACTTCCGGGTGCAATTGCATCTTTAAAGTCTACACAGGGTCTTAGTTGCTGAGTTCATAAGCCCCAAAAAGTGTACTCAGTTCTATAGGGGATGCTAGTATCCCAAAAAAGTGCAGAGTGTACTCACTCAGCTACTAAGGGGTATGCCGGAGTTTCTCCAGGTATTTGCAAGCACCAGCTTCCACAATCCCGAAAAGCTCCGATGAATGTGCCTGCCAAGCCTCATGTCTATGAATGTAGACGTCTCCTCGGTTCTGCGCATGTCTGTTTTCTAGTGGTATCAAGGGCCTGAGTCAGGAAGGAAGCCGGTTGCCCGTGTTCTTGTGTGTTTCCAGTGGTTGCAAGAAAGACCAAGAGTACCCTTGGCCAAAAACGGCCAATCTTTCAACTACGGTAGGATTACAGAAGCCCCAAAAGGTTAAAGGTTACCTACGTACTCAGGCATAGTAGTGACGGCACGCAGACAGCCAAAAAGAAGGAAAGCACTGCCACACGTCCGAGCCTTGTCTCCCGCAACATATCCCGTGGGACATTCCTTCCCATCGATGTGAATGGACCAGCGGCACGCGCAGGCACCTTGCCGGTGCACGTCTCGCACCATGACCCGAAGGTTGTCCGAGTAGTAGAGGCCTCGGCTCACGCTCAGCAAAGTCATCGACTGCTAGACCCAAGAGTAAACCAGGGATGAAAAGGGTACCCTTTTTGGGTTTGAAAAGGGGCTTACAGGGGAACCTAAGGTAACCTAAGAGGGTGGTCAAAGGCCAAGAAAGGCCTACGAAATGCAAGCAGTTGCAGCGGAAGTTCTCCCTTGCGAGGGTAAGTAGGGTTATGAGTATGGGACTCTACTTACTACTATAAGCCTATTTAGGGTTCTTAGAACCCTACTCTATATCCCTGTATAGGAGTCGTGGGTCTGGTACTTGACCGGCCGCTGCTTATTGCACAGCTGGGAGACGCAAATTGCTGTCTTTGTTGAGCTTCTTGAATGAGATGTGCCGGCCAGTAAGGTGCCCGGAGTCCTTGGCGCAAGCAGAGGTTGCACGTGCCCTAAACCTTTTTTTTTTGCGCCAGGGCTCTCTCAAGTGCCCGGCCCTAAAGTTTTTTAGGGGTACAAGGGTGCAGCCTTGTGGGGGCACGAGTGCCTCGAAGAACCCGATGTAAACCCTAAACTACAACCCGCAAACCCTAAAGCCTAAAGCCTAAACCCTAAACCCTAAACCCTAAAGCCGCTCAGGCCCGTACCCGAGCATCACCACCTTCGCCGCTCTTGTAGTGGTAGAGGGGGTAGGCCTCGGATGGCCCCCAAAACCCTCTGAAAAGTATCCCTAAACCCTAAACCCTAAACCCTAAACCCTAAACCCTTTTTGCTAAACCCTGAACCCCAAACCCTAAACCCTAAACCCAATAAGGGACAGTATACCAAGGGCCAACCGAGAGGCCTCTGGGATCTCCTGGACCTCCAGGTGCACCGTGGCTCTCCTCGGCACAATATACGCAAGAAATGAAAACATCTCATAAATACAGTACTTTGTACTGATGTATCTATAATATATATATATATGTACATATAAATATATACATACATACACACACTGATACAGATATAAAACTTGAGGGTGCAGCCGAGGACAATGAAGGCTAGCCCTGATTGACGCCAACGTGGATTCGGACACACCGCACACTACTATACGACCACCACCACCATCGCCACCACAGTCCATCCACCACATGCCACCACACACGTCCACGCACCACCACACACCAACACCACAACCACCACGCCCACCCCACTTCACCACACACCGCCACAGATGCGCTCAAGGAGACCGCGATGGATACAGATCCGCGGATCACGCGCCATCATACAAACCGTGATCTATAACGCAACGACCGTGCATCTATCACCAGCCCCTCCCCCAATCTCAGTTTAAAGGCAATTATTGATAGATTTGGAGGAATGGGCCCCGCCCTGATTGATAGATTCGATGACTGGCGACCCCCCCTTTGCCCCACAAAATCTCTTGATAGATTCAAGACGCCCCCCACCCATTTTCCACGAAACTAGCAAAAAGAAAGCAACTTCAGCGGCAAAGAATGTAGAAATATATCATAATATATTGAAATACAGATGTTACATATGGCCAGCATGTAGAAAATCCATCACAAGTACGTACAAAGATCGGGCCCTAAACCCTAAACCCAGAACCCTAAACCCCAAACCCTTAACCCTAAACCCTAACCCTAAACCCTAAACCCTAAACCCTAAACCCAAAACCCAAACCCTAAACCCCAAACTCCAAAAATCAAACCCCAAACCCCAAACCCCAAACCCTAAACCGTACTTCCGGGGCCATCAGCCAAGGTGCGGAGTTCCATGTCCAGCATGCCAGCCAGTGAAAGCATCCATGATGTTCCACCCATGGTGCCAAGGAGTAGGGCCGACATACACCTTCTCAAGAGACTCTACCAGTAGGGTTTAGGGTTTAGGGTTTAGGGTTTAGGGTTTAGGGCTACTTGGAGGTTCAGGGGTACTTAGAAGTAGGGTTCTAAGTAGTAACTCTGGGTGTAACCTTACTTGGGGCTGCAAGTAAGGCTTCTCTTTGTTGAGGCCACTTAGGAACTTTAGCTAAGATTAACATTACCATGATAGGGCTCTAGAATATTCTAGAGGAAAAACACTATACAGTGCCCTTATTCTGGCAACATCACCTGGGCAAACCCCTTGTACCAGGTCTTTTGGACCCCTAGCGCCGGTTGTCTGATTGGTATGGGCCTGCACGGTGTGCTTGCCGACGCTGACACCTTTGCAGACGCCTCCCCATCCATTGGTGCGATGGGAATCCTGAAACCGATGGACGTACCTTGCGAGGCACCATGCTCTTACGAATGCGGATATTGCATGTTGAAGTTGCCACGTGCCTTTGCTGAGAATGCTCCCGAGAACACCATGAACAGAACCAGACGACTTGAAGAAATCCGCCTCTATCTCGACACATGTCCGCGGTGCTTGCCAAAGTCACCTTATCCACACCTCTTGTGTTAACGGTCGTTATTGCCAACATACACAAAACAGGGTCAGGGTTAAAGTCATTTCCGCTGGACTCCACAGGACTCAGGCAAGTCAAGAGTCTTTGCCATACTCATCCTGATACATTTATACATATTACACACATACATCATGCAAGCCAAGCCAAGCCTACAATCAGACTCAAATGAGCAAGCGGAGAAGTGCGCCATGCAAGCTCCACACTCCACACGTCTTTCGCATGTTGAAACAGGGTCAGCGTTGCAGCTGTGCCTCCTGCCCCGCGACGAGCAAACAAAAGGCGTTGCGTGTCTAAGGACATTGCTCGGTGCATGCGCCATGCGGTGAATGACATTCCCAGAGACGCCAAAACCGCTTAATTAAGGAATAGACCTTAAATCATATTCGGGCTCCTATTATAACTGAAGGGATATTCCTTAATTAAGGAACAGACCTCAGATCATATTCGGGTTCCTCCTATAACTTAAGGGATATTCCTTAATTAAGGAACAGACCTTAAATCATATTCGGGTTCCTCCTATAACTAAGGAGTTTTGGAGTCTCTGGGCGGCCCAGGGTGGCAAGAAGACGGGCGAGGGATAGAGATCTCAGCCAACGACTGACTGCCAGGTTGAGAAGCTGCTCATGCAAATAGGGTTTAGGGTTAAGGGTTTAGGGTTTAGGGCGTCTCGCCGCGCGGCGGCAGTAAGTGCCATGCGCAAATGGCGCCCCTACACACCCAGGGGGTGTGGGGGGGCTGCATGTCACGCGAAGGCATCTCTTGTCAATGTAATCCAGCAATTTCATTGGTGCTGGCTTCTTCTCCCCACCCGCTGTGAGCTTTCACAGGCCACCACCCAAACCACTGCCTTTTAGGGTTTAGGGCTGCCTCAATTCCCACCATTGCTTTCCCTACAAAGGCGTGGTGGTAGTGGGGCGGGGAGGGCGGCGGCTTGAGGGGGGGGACGGGCCAGGGCCCAAGAGGAGAAGGGGACCAGGAGGCGGGGTCGGAGTGGGGGCGGGCAGGGGTTAGGGGGGGCCAGGAGGGGGGGGGGGGGGGGGGGGAAAGGGCGTTTTTCAGGCCATGCCGGAATCTGGATTCAGGATTTTCGGGTCATTTTAGCGCTAATGAAGAGAGGAGGATCAGACATCCCTGTGTGTAGATATGGGCGCCACTCTGGTGGCTTAGTGGCAAGGCGAGCCCTAGGGGCTCTCTATTGACCACTCTCCAATCACTCCACCCATTGTCCATCCAGTAAAGGTGTCCATCACTGCCGGGTATCTTCTGGGTCCAGGCACCCTAGAAAAGGGTGGGTACGGCCTAAGCAGGCCGGGTGGGAATTTAGGGTTTAGGGTTTAGGGTTAACGCACGTCTGAAGATGAATTTTCATTCATTTCACAAACTGAATATTGTTACCCAGATCTTCCACAACCCCTTAGTTAAGGAATATACCCTAGTTTATTCTGAGGATCATGATTATGAATTGGGGTGTATTCTTTAATCAAGAGGTTTTGGAAAATCTGGGTGTCGACCATCTTGGGGGCACATGTTTCAAGTGCTGCGCCCCCTGGATTCTTTGAGCTTGGGTGGCCAGTCAGATCTTGATTTCTATCCGGACCCAGATCTCTTCCAAAACCCCTTAATTAATGAATAGACCCTAATTTTTGCTAAGGGTCAGTACTATGAATTAGGGTCTATTCCTTACATAAAGGGTTTTTGGAAGATCTGGGGAAGTGTCTGAAGGCTAGCGTTTTCCATGAATGCGGTCTAAGGTACCAATCCTGGTATATTCCCCCACTGGGGCAGGACTTCCCATCAATCTTGATCTCCCATCGACCGGCGCAGCCATCGATAAAGCGACCTTTGTACCTGTGGGGAGTACCTTGGACTGCAAGAGGCTCAGGACACTACGAATTGCTTCCTCCATTAAAATATAGTAACAATAAAAAACAATCTTCCTTACAAGGGTAATATAGGGAACATTAGTTTTTTGGGTTCTCAAGCAAATAGTAGGACAAGGAAGGACTTTGCCGTAGGAAGCTCCAGAGAAAGCCTACTGTCAAGCCTTTTCATGACTCAGATTCATACCCCTCATGTTGTACCCCTGAAGGTTTCCCTGAATATACTCCTTATAACTTAGGGTTGTCAAGGTAGGGTCCCCTGGAACCTAAGGGCGCCAATTTAGGGGGTTCAAGGTAGAGTCGTGTGACACCCTGCTCTCTCTGCCTTCCTTCATTCCGCAGCGGGGCCTCTGAGCTGTGCAGCCCAGGCGGCATAACACTCGAAAGGTGTCGGTGTACAGAAATCGCAGGATGCTGTCTTCCTTCTTCCTGGAGTTGAGGCTTCGGGTCATCCAAGCGCCAAACACTCCCCGGGCCCCAGCAACTCTCAACGTCGCAACCTACGGTAATCACATTTGCCACAACCCGTGGTAGCCAGCTGGGACAGGCAATGGCACAGGTGGGCAGCGCAACAGTGGCATCGTCCAGTCGTTGTCTGTACCTCCCCAGGCCTTTTAGAAAGAGAAGTTTCAAGTAATTGGGCAAATTTCCGTTTCAAGGGGGTGCAGGCCAGTAGGTACGTTATACACTCCGTGCAGGCCGTAGCTGTCATTACCTCTAACCTGGACTCGTATAACAATTCGTGACTTCTGTGCTCAGAGGGCCCCAAGAAAGCCTGCAAAGCCTATGAACCCTCTAAGCCCTTCTCGCCCCATAAGCCCTGTGAACCCTGTAAGCCCGATGTAAACTGGAAACCCTATACACACCTAGAAGCCCTGGTCATAAGCCCCTCGGTTGCCCCCTAACTCTTAGACAAATCTAGGGTTCCAAGTAGGGGCGCTTAGTTTGGGTTCCTCCGCTATAGCCCCTATATACGCTATACATTATAAGAGCCCATACTTCGGATCCTTATAAACAAGGGTATACGGGGCCATACTAAGGGCCCATGGTTCCAACCTTGGACTGAAAGTGTGGAGCAGACCCTGAGCATGAGGGGTTAGGGTTTAGGGTTTAAGGTTTTCTTTATGCAATGCTCCCTATGGGGCAGCTGCTTCGGGTTCGGGGCAACTGCTTCGGGTTTCGGGTTTCTAGGGCCCTAAACCCTAAACCTAAACCGTAAACCCGAAACCCTAAACCCTAAACCCTACAGTAAACCCTAAATCCAGAGGCACGTGCTGCCACAGCGTCTTTACGAAGGTGAAGGTGCGCCCGGGCACTTTCTCGCTTTTGGGACCGGAGTGGTGGTGGGCCATGTTCTTGGTGATGCCATGCCTTTAGGGTTCAGGGTTCAGGGTTCAGGGTTCAGGGTTTAGGGTTTAGGGTTTAGGGTTTAGGGTATAGGGTTTAATCGCTCACACTCGGACAAGCCAGGCGAGGCACACGGGTTCAACAGTCTCAACATCGGCTCTGCAGCACATGTGGCCACAGTCATGCTGGTGATACTACTACTCACTGTTTGCTAACTGGTGAAATGCTCATTGACTAGTGAAACATATCCAGGACACGTCAGTACTGCTCCTCGACACCATACTTCGCCATCTTCTGTGGTGGCGGGCGTTCAAGCCACACAGGGCAGGAGAGAAATGGTCGACCCCGGAGCCCTATACATAGTTCAGGCAGCTTGCTAATCCCCTATTACTCCGCCATTTCTCCCCCCATGGGATTCGTCCTCTTTGCCCCGGCATCATCTGTGCTACGCCCTTTCGCTGGCTCTTCCTTCTGCCCGGATCTCTGCCCACTACTGTCTCCGGTCGGTCACGTACCCTCCCGCTGTCATCATCTCGTCATTGGCTGGCACGCCCTGGAGCCCAGGCCTCAGCCTACTGTCAGCGAAATCACTTGGTCCCTCGGCTGAGGCTCGCCATCGCGAATTCTGCTTGAATTCCTGAATGTTGACTTGAATTCCTGAATTCCAGCAGCCAAATTCCTGAATTCCATCAACCATCCTCCTCCCCAGGCGCACTCCGCCACTCCTCTCATGCAGTGTCATGCATACCATGCCATGCAAGCGCGCCATCAGGGTTTAGGGTTTAGGGTTTAGGGTTTAGGGTTCAGGGTTCAGGGTTCAGGGTTCGGGCCGCTTGAACCCCTTGGCAAACTGAGCACTCGAATCGTGTTGGGCCCTTGGGTTTCACAGGGGAAATACGGGTTCCCCAACTAAAGGGCCCATCTTCAGGGGCCATGTAACTGCCCGGAGGGTTTAGGGTTTAGGGTTTAGGGTTCAGGGCTTAGGGAAAGAAACCCTTCAAAACCAAATCCGGACGAGGAGCACATCTATGAGGTATGGATCCTTCTTCTCCTCGTCTTGGCACGCCTCCTTGCCGCCATCGGGGGAGTAGCAGAGCTGATCCTTCTTGCAGGTCTCCTCAGCGTAGAATTTGGGTCTGGTAGCGCACAGGGTCTAGGGCTAGGGTTTAGGATTTAGCAGCCATAACTCACCTTTTCTTCATCTGGGCTGGGTGGGGAATGCATAGTAACTCCCTAAACCCTAAACCCCAAACCGCAAACCCTAAACCCTACTAACTCCCTTTTCTTGTTTGCACCAACCAACTCCCTAACCCCTAAACCCTAGATCCCATAAGCAGTCTCGGCGCTGACTCGCAGGTGCAGTCGTCCCCTACGGGGATGTACTCGCTGACGGGGCATTTTGGCAGCTCCTGTCGCTGTCACTTAGAGCAGAGAGGGGGATGGTTTAGGGTTTAGGGCTTATGGTGTAGGGTTTAGGTCAAGTTTAGGTGAGACTTTCCGGTGCACCCATACGAACATTCAGGGATGAGGGTTGAGGAGCACTCTTTGCAGGCGAGGTCGTGATTTGTACCATTATTCGGCACAAAGAAACCCCAAAATCAAAATCGAACTTCTCTCCAGGATTAGGGAACAGTCTTGTGGGCAGTTCGATGTTCTGGGTGCCCGATGGGGCTCCTTCATAAGACTTGGCTGTTGCGGGTAAACGACCAGTTCAACCTCCGAATTATCCTAGGGAAAACTAAGAAGGACCAGAATAAGGGGAAATAAATCTAAAGTCCCTTATCAGGGTCCCTCCTTTGGCCCCTTGCACATTTTGACTAAAACCTTCAACCCTGAACCTTAAACATTCGGAACAAAACCTTCAACCCTGAACCTTAAACATTAGGAAAACACCTTCAACCCTGAACCTTAAACATTAGGAAAAAAAACCTTCAACCCTGAACCTTAAACATTCGGAAAAAACCCCTTCTGCCGCCCGAAGCTCGGCTCGGAGGAGAGCTTCCCGTCTCTCGGTTCGCCGCTCGACAATCCTCGGGGCTTGACACATGTTAAGCCCTAAACTTGGGATGTTCCCCCTTAGACTAGCAGTCCCCAAAGAGCCCAATATGGCTTAATTAAGGAATATTCCTTAAATCATATTAAGGATCCTTAATATAATTTAAGGTATATTCCTTAATTAAGCAATATTGGGCTCTTTGGGTCCCTTTATGGGGATTTTCCGTTGTTTGCATCCCCAACCGGTCAGATCTCAAAAGTGGAGAGAAGCCCAAGGCCGCAATGAGCCCAGGGCCTCTGAGCCACAAAACCGATGCAGCAAACCCTATAGGGTTTAGGGTTTAGGGTTTAGGGTTTAGGGTTTAGGGTTTAGGGTTTAGGGTTTAGGGTTTAAGGCTTCGGCTTCCGCACTCACACAAGGCAGGCGAGGATTGGTTGAGGGCTTAGGGTGTAGAAAAACCCTGAAGCCTAACCCTAAACCCTAAACCCTAAACCCTAAACCCCCACCTCTTCGTTGCAGCGAAGGTGCAGGTTGTCATTCGCCCCGGCCGACCTCGGACTCGAGCCCAGTGCTTCTTGAAACATGTGGGTAGTATAGGGGTCTTAGTAACTAGAACAAGGTTTAGGTTTTAGGGTTTGGGGTTTCATCAGGGTTTTGGGGGGTGTTATAAAAGCATTACAAAGGGACCATAAGGGAATACTATCAGTAACTATTCCGACCCCTATAGTAGTTCACTACATTCCCGGATCTTCCGAAACCCCTTAACTGAGGAATACACCCTAGCATATACTAAGGATCATGATTATGACCTAGGGTAAGCTCCTTAATTGCGTAAGAGGCTTTGGAAGATCTGGCTTAGGGTCCCTTTTTGGGTACCCATTATAAGGCGGCACCCTTTTCAAAAGGACCCCCCAAAAAGGAGACCAATTTAGAGAACTACCCATGTGTTGATGTGCTGATAGCTAGAGGTCAGGCTTGGGGGATCGCGCGTATGAGATAAGGGTCTTAGGGCTTACTTGGAGGCTCATGGGTGCTGGCAAGTAGGGTTAGAAGTAGAGTAGCTATGGTTATAACCTTACTTTGGGTACTCATAACTTATAGCCCTACTTATAAGCACCCTCCAAGTAGGACTTCTAGGGGTTCTTGAACATATGTGCTGCTAAGAAGGATTGAATGAGGCTTGGGGAAGGGTCCTTGCAGAAGAGTTTGTTCTTCGAAGGCTTGAAGCAAGAGGCAGTTGTTGCACGTCGCCGTGAGCATCCACGGATACCTCCTTCGAAAGATTTCGACCATCTTTTGTGCGCTGCTTCAGTCTTGAATCTGAACCCAAAGCGCCCCTTGTCCCTTAATTTGAGGAATATACCTTAAATCACATAAAGGGTCCCTTTCTAGTGCAAGGGAATGCCCCCAAACTCGGGTGCAGGGTACTTCTAACCCCCATGATGACTGTACTTATAAGGCACCTTAATTAAGTCCTCTAAGTAGGAAACAAGACGTGTGATTGGGGCTATCGGTATCCATGAATCTCCAAGAGCCTGCCAACTTCAACTACGTGCTGAAGGGATCTTGGGCACGACTTGGGACGATCTTTGGGACGTTCCCCCCTATGCCAACAGTCCTTAATAGGGATTCCAATACCCCTACTATAGTCCCCATAAAGGAGCTGCGAGTAGGGATTCGGGTACTCCCTAGTCTAATCCCCATTAAGGAACTCTTCATATAAGGGGGGGAACATTCCCAAGGCTAAAACGGGTCCTGGAAGGCGAAAGCATCAAGGAGCTTTGGCAAGGCTACGAGCCAGAAGCCCCCAGCCAACCTGCACAATTGTTGGGCTAACAATTCAAAAAAAACCTAAACCCTAAACCCTGAACCCTAAACCCTAAACCTCCCCACTTGGGAGTAGACACTGGGAAAAAAGTATTATACTTGTTAGGTAAAAGTAGCGACAGTAGGAACCCAGAACCAAAAACAAGTGTGAAAGTATATTACTCCAAAACCCAGCTGTTGTTCCTTGTTGGGTTTAAGTTGGCTTAATATTCATAAAACAGAAAAACGACTCTCAACAATGACCCAGCAACATTGGCTGCATATGTAGGAGTAAATGGACAAACTTACGGACGCGACCACATGAGGCGGCCTGAGACGAGCCGAAACGGCTGCGGGTCAGCATGCAGTGAATGCGAAAGTTCAGGGGCCGCACCTGCTCATCGTGAACTACTCTTTGCGGAAGAACCCCCAAAAATCAAGATATTCTTTCCTGAAACGGGCAATATAGGATTGTTATCTTTTAGATGACTATTATTTTATCTTTATTTATTTTATTTTTACTTTTTTTGTTTGGGGGGGGGAGGGGGGGGGGGGGGGGGGGGGGCGTTCTTAAGCAAATAGTAGTTATGATAGGGCAACAGATCCGGTGTCTAGTGCTATCGCTGCATTTGCAGATCACCACCCAGGGCCCCGAGATGCGGGGAAGCGCGGCGGGTTCGAAGTCGCCGTGGCTGGCTTTTTCTGACGGAGGCACTCCCAGGGAGCTCGGTACCCCTTAATTAAGGAATATACCTTAAGTTATACAGGGACCCGTAGTATGATTTAAGGTATATTCCTTAATTGAGGAATATACCTTAAGTTATATAGGGACCCTCAAGATGATTTTAAGGTACATTCCTAAGTTAAGGGATATTGGGCTCTTTGGGCTCAGAAACCAAGGCCCAGTTACAAGCTACAAGCAAACCCGCGTCCCAAGCAGAAGCTTTGGTTGTCGCAATGTAGGCCCTATGAACCCTAAACCCTAAACCCTAAACCCTAAACAGAGCTGCAGACAGGGATCTTCAGGCCCAGCATGTAGTAGTTCAAGCCAGGGCCAGCAAAGGGACTTCTCAGCGTGTACAGCTCATAGAGCACCACGCCCATACTCCAAATGTCCTTGCTTTGACACGTGGAGCTAGCGCCAGCTAGGGGTCTCCTCCCCAGGGTTTAGGGTTTAGGTTTTTGTTACAACCCTGTGGGTTTAGGGTTTAGGGTTTAAGTCTAGGTCCTCAGACACGAAGCTGCAACCCGGAATTTCTCAAACCCTTTTTCCTTCCAGCTTCTTGCCTTTTTGCAAAACTGCGGCACGCACTCCCGGACCCCTGTCAACACCCTCAAAAAAAAGCCCGAGTCTAGAAGCCCAGCATCTCCACCAGAACCGGTTTTAGGGTTTAGGTTTAGGGTTTAGGGTTACCCTTTCTTGCCTGAAACCCTACCTAGAACAAACCATGACATCTGCGAATGGTACCCAGAGACTCCAAGACCCTTAAATTAAGGAACATATTCTTTAAACCATGTTAGGAACCTTCGTATACTTCAAGGAATATTCCGAAAAGAAGGAGAATTAGAGTCTCTGGCTATACCGACGCCCTACCAATCTCTGTAGTGTCCCAGCCGCAGACTTGAAGGAGTAACCGCCAGCGTCCTGGGACCACTGCGAGTGCTCAGACTGCGCAGAGCAACGCCCGGAACAGGGTTTAGGGTTTAGGGTTCAAGATTTAAGGCTTAGGGTTTAGGGCTTTCTCTTGTGGCCACAGAACTCTGAATTTGCACTGCCTCCAACTCAAGCTGAGGCTCCGAAATCACTTCCTGGGCATATCAGGGCCGACAAGGGGGGGTTCAGGGCGACAGAAAGCTGTGATCTTCGCCCTGAGGTTCTCTTGGACGCTCCCAACAACGTCAAGCCGGATGGGATGGGGATGCTTGGAGACTTTGGGCTTTCCCTCTTGCTCTCTTGCTCTCTCTCTCTCTCTATATAATATATATATATATCATATATATATATAGCTGAACGGATCCCTGCAGCGCGAACTCCACCCCACATAATTTCATTCATCGGTAGCTCTCGGCGGTCTTTCAATTCTTTGGGTGTGCGGAGAAAGTTCGGAGAGAGCCAGTAGTGGGAGTACAGCAATATCCTGGCACCCAAAAACTTTGCTACTTTCCGCAAGCTGCGCAACAGTCTCGTCATTTGGGTGTGGAACAACTACCAAGGAAAATGTAGAGTCTTGGGGCCTTCCTTAGCGACAACCCAATATCGACCCTAAAAAAAAACTAGAAACCTTATAGCCAGTATCCGGTGATCAACGGTTTCGGGTTTAGGGTACCGTTCACCACCAAAGCGGTCATGAGCAAACTGGGAATCGACCCGCTTGCTTCAGCTGGTTCTACCCGGCTTCATAGGAGCCCCACTCGGTTGCATCACATCTGTCTTCTCCCGAAACCCTCCGTGCAGCCAGAGGGCCGGAGACATGTAGAACGGAGTGCCGACCACCGAATGCGCCTTGTAGGTATTGGAGCTGAAGTATCTGCCTCAGCAGATTTTCTGGGTTGGGGGGGGGGGGGGGTGTGTTTCAGAAAGATCCTCAACATGGACTCTGGGCGTTTAGGGCTTAGGGCGGCTAAGGCCCTTCATTTTTTGGGGAGTCGACTCTCTGGCGCTCTCGCGCACCCAGGGTTTAGGGTTTAGGGGCAGGTAAGGTTTCATCTCGTTCGTTCTCTACAAGGAACTCGACTGCTGCCCTTACTGACCAGCCCTCCCCCACACTGCG